AACATTTTATTGAATCTCAGTGAGGCGTCTGACTTTTTTTTGTGTAATTTCCTTTCATTGCACATGCCTTTACTTATTATTACTTGAGTTTAGCAATTCTGCGCCTCAAAGAGAAATCTCAGTGCTCCTGAGAGCGCTCTTGCAGATGAAGAAGTTCATCACTAGTATTGAGCGTGTGTGTGTGTGTGTGTGTGTGTTTCAGGCGTTGGATGCGTTGCAGACCGCACTGCAGCAGGAGCCGGCAGACCCTGTGCTGAAGGCAGAGCTGCACTTCTCCATGGGTAACCAGCTCAGAGAGATGAACGAGCTTGATCGAGCCTTCCAGGTAACGTCACCTGCAGCTGTCAGACCGAGAGAACAGCTCTTCAAATATTCCCTTTCAACACAGTCCTGTTTACTAGGTTGTAGTTTGCCAACAGACAGTTCACAAACCATAAAAACTGCAAGAGCTTCACCCAAATGAAAAGCTCAAGATTAACAGGGTTGTATCAGTCCTCTGAGAAGCATAATTTTTTTGTCTTTTAAATATGAAATTCATACTGAAAATAACTTGAAAACATCTTTTATGATGATACTTTGAAGAAATAATTTGCATAAAGAAATGAAGCCTTTTAGGATCATAAATAATTTTCATGACAATATAAGAAAAAGCTATTCTGATTGTTGTAAATTATGAAGCATTATTGTTTAAATAAAATTTAATATTAAAAATTTAAAACTGAATGTCATATGTCAAAATTAATATAAAATAAAATATGAAAATGTCCTTTTATATGACACATTACTTGCTGAATTTTGGACAATTTTTATCACTGCATTAAAACAGTGATATAAATGCACATAAATATACATAAATGCAATTCATATAGACAGTCACTTGAATACTTCATCTTCTTTGATGAGCGTGCTTTCCATTTATGAATTAAGATTCATTTAGATTTTTTTTTTTTTCAATTCTAAGAAAAGATTTCGTTTTTTTATCATCTTAGATATTTGTCATTTACAAGCGCTTCTGGGGAAGAACTAAATGCTAGATTTGCCAACATTTACCAGGTTCATGGCATCAATTTTTAAAAAATATATATTTAAGAGTAATACTAATTGAATGATATATTAAATATTACCAATATATTTGTGATCATTTTCTGGTGATATAAAATTCAGCAATAATGAAAATTGCAGTGATTCGATTATTTTTTTTTTACATTTTACCATTTGGCCACCGTTCTGTTTTTATGAGACTTCCGATTATGAGAGTGTTGAGAGATAATTGAATAGTGTATTATTTAAATAGCAATAACAATCAACATGAAAGACTGTAATTGGTTGTATGACGTCAATCAGGATAGTCATAATAAGCTGTAGTATAAAACCTGTCTGTATGTTCTCGTCTGCTTGCTTCTTCTCTCACCTTCACACGGTGCCCTGATACTGTCACAGGAACATCAGCGCATCCTTTCATCTCCAAATATAAACGGTCCAGACTTTCTCGTGCTGGAAGCTTTCTTCTTAGCCTTGTTTGTTCTCTGCCTTAAAAGGACTTAAATGAAGTTTATTCGACAGAACGTCTACCTAACTCAAGGACTGTTATGGTTTCATTCTGTGTTCCTGGACTCATTCCAGGTCTCCCGCTAATATTTGGCCTGTAGTCCCACATTTATTTTGACCACAAAGGGACAGATGAGAACAGGCTGGTCTCGGGTTCACACAATGCTGCTATCCAGTTCAAAGCTCAATTATGAAGGCTTAAACAAAAAGGCCTTTTGTGGTATTTCAACACCACATCTGCGGAGGAGCCAGACTGTTAAATTCACCTCCAGTGTTTTTTTCTTTTCTTTAATGGATCATGTTTCTTACACAGATCAAAACGGTTATAAAAGGTTGAACCTCGCCGGTGGTTTAATACTGTTGACTTCATTTATCATTGGCTACATATTATGTTTATTACATGTATAATATGTCATGTGTTGATCTAATGTTTCCAGAGCTACAAACTTGCCGTCGAGCTCAAACCTGACCAATCACAGGCCTGGATGAATATGGGCGGAATTCAGCATATCAAGGTATGTCGGCTGAAAAAAAGGAAAAATATATTTCGCATAAACAAAGAAATTGTTTGCATTCAGAAAATGAAACCTTTAATAATAATTGTTATGATCATTTTTCTCAATAACTTATAACTGTAATGTGAAGAATCAATAATGATATACTATTTAAATATATAAATATGAATAAAAACTGTAGTTAATAGAATAGATATGTTCTATTATAATTAATGATATAAATTAAATATGCCAAAAATATAACAATAATTAGAAGTTAAACATTATATATATATATATATAATTATTTTTAGATAAATATATGCAGTGCATTAACTCAGAAATGGTGTTATGAAAGGTAATTTTAGTAAGAATATATATATATATATATATATATATTATTGTCATATATATACACTATATGGGTCTGTGTGTGTAAACATTATATTTAAGATTTATTTTACATTAAACATTTCTAAATAGATTTTCTTAATCCAAAATTGTATAAAATAATTAGACTTCTTTTCAGTTAATTTTATCGTATATATTTTTTTTCAAGCATAAAAATAATGCTAATATTATAACTTAGTCACATTACATTAACCATACATTTAAAAAGAAAAAAATCTGAATTAAGATTTTTTTATGACTGCATTACAATGATAATGAGAGATTTTTTTTTCAAAATAATAATTTTGAGGGAAATGTGCTTAATTAAGAAAAGGCACAAAGTCATAATACTCCCTAATATTTAAAAAAATATATAATTGTTGTTTTTTTAAATCCTTGTGATTAGGTGAAAATGACCTGGAAATATCCTCATGAGACTGATCCAAGCTCTCTTGTCTGTCGTTTAGGGAGACTATGCAGCCGCAAGAGCGTACTACCAAAGAGCTCTCGTCCTCTCGCCCAGCTCCAAACTGCTGAAGGAAAACCTTGCCAAGCTGGACCGACTGGAGAAAAAACTACACGGAGGAACAGCGAGTCCTGAACCATCGGCCAAATGACGGAGAGACAGAAGGATGAAGCGAGGCAGCGGATAAAGACATGCAAACACAGTTAGGACTCAGGAGATAATTCATGACTGCTTCCTTTCCCCTCCAGAGTTTACAGAGGATTGAAATAATCCAACAAACCGGCATTTTGCAGCCTCTGCATTCAGAGCTGGAGCACACCGATACCGCTGACCTCAGATTTCAGAAGTTTTCATCATTGTTCCTGTCTCTAAAACCACTCAACGACTACTTTAAAGTGCTCAGAGCGTGTTCTTGCATTAATCCTCACCATCAGACATGGAAGCAGAGGTGCCATCTGAGACTGAGAGGGATTTTTTGGGGATGTGAAGCCGTTCCACTCGACTCCGTTCTGCTTCGATGATTTCTAAGCCCGGGAACTAGCGTTTCGGACAAATGCTGCAAGTTTTCTAACGTGACTGGACATCTACTGTGTTCCATGAACACGGCAGATCTGATTTAGCGATTTAAATGAAGGACAAAAAAAATGACAGGGTCGTTCATCATGCGCTTTCATTTTATCTTTTATCTTGTACATGCATCAATATTGTGGAATGTATCTTTGACTAAAGGCGTTTTAACCTGTGCAGTGAATTACATATCATATTTTTCTCCTCATAAGCTACAAGCGAATATGATACATAACGCCGTATCCTTGAACTGGGTCACCGTGACAGTAAATGGATTGGAGTCATATTTTGGCTGGCCAGAGTTTGTCATGCAGTACTCTTGATCACACCGTAATCTTTGCACTTACGTTTCGTTGCCATAGGAACTGTTATCAAGAACATTTCTTGAGTTGTGCAGCGGCCGTGCTGAACATGTCATAGCAGAAACCAATGTGAAGTAATGTATGATTATTTAATAAATATTATCCAATACTTATGAATGTGCTCTTGTGTTTGGAGGTGTTGACATTGCTCTGGGCGGGCAATTATGTGTGCAATCACTTATCAAAATCACAGGCCAGGTGTTAAAATTACCCAAATCAACCGCTGCATTGAATTCTGTAAATGTTTTTACATCCCATTGTTTAAACATAATCATTCAAAAGCACACAAAGCTGACAGATTAGATATAGAAACACTTTCTCCTACTGAATTTGCAATATTATTCAAGATTAACCTAACAATATTTTTAATTACACACGTTGGTACATGAATGAATGCTGCATTATCTTGAACAAGACAAACTGCATTTTCAAATATTTGAACCCTTAGTTACACACACACACACACATATATATATATACATATATATGGTGTGTGTATATATATATATATATATATATATATATATATATATATATATATATATATATATATATATATATATATATATATATATATATATATATATATATATATATATATATATTTAATCGCGATTAATCATTTGACAGCCTATATATAACATAGATTCACAACATATATATAGATTCACTGTATGTGTGTGTATATGAATATATACATACACAGACACAAGCATATATAATACATATATATATATATATATATATATATATATATATACACACACATTATATAAATAAACATTGTGTTCAATGTGATTAATCATGATTAATAGATTTGACAGCACTAATATGTTATAAAATTTGATTAAAAAAAATAAATAAATGATGCAGTTTGCTTGAATGATTCGATAAGCATATGGTAGGCTTCACTGTATGAAATACATTTCTGAGTCAAACAATTGAAATGTGTAATACAAAATTCAATAAAAAAAAACATTGTTTATTAAGGGTCGTTAATTATGATTAAATAAAACATTTAAATTGGATTGGATTGACTCTACTGAATTTCTGTACGTGTTCTCGAAAGTAATTGGTCATTTTATATTTTATAACAATAGATTTTTCACAAAGATCGTGCAGACTGCGTGTATGACTCTGCTGCCCTCTAGTGGTGAAACTGAACTGCACACTCGGTTAATTAAGCGCTGATTGCGCCGCACAGGTGTCACGGGGATTATGTTTGCTTGTAAAGTCTTTTGTATTAAGTTTCTCCGGTCATTTTAACTAACAGATTTGTGATCATGTGTAAAAAATATTTATTTATTTTAATAATTCTTTCTCTTAATTGGACTAAGGCTGACCCTGGTGAGCGGATCTCGATCATGTTTTGTTAGCTTTGTAAGGTTTGAATGATGTGGTTTATTATTTAAATCGTCGTTTAAAATGCAGGAAAGGATCACAATGCTTCAGCTTCAGCTGAGACAAACTGCGTCTTTGGCAAGGGATGTTATGGTAAGACAAAGTTATGAATGCTAGTAGTTCACTTTAAAAAAAAAAAAAATACTTTTGCTGATAATTTGATCACCCCCATGCCATCCAAGATGTCCACGTCTTTCTTTCTTCAGTCAAAAAGAAATTAAGATTTTTGATGAAAACATTCCAGGATTTTCTCCATATAATGGACTTCAATGGGAACCAAAAGGTTCCAGGTCCAAATGAGAGTTTCAGTGCTGCTTCAAAGGGCTGACACCAGACAATGAAGAATGGTGTTTGTATTGTTTAAAGCCCTTTGAAGGAAAATCCTACGCTACGCTAGTCTCAAGTCTGTGACCAAGAGAAGGCTAAGCTCCTCCAATGTCTGCTGGATTGCTCACACATATGATTCCTTGCACCATGTTTTTCAGACCAGGCTGGCATACGCTCCTTCATCCCAGAGCGGGATGAGGAGGAGAGTCGGATTATAGGTGGGCAGGAGGCCTGGGCACATTCGTGGCCTTGGCAAGTGTCCCTGCTGTACTCCGACCTGCCGGCCTGCGGGGGGGCCGTCCTCGACCTGTGGTGGGTTATCACCGCCAGCCACTGCTTCAAACGGTGAGCCCATCATCAGCGGTCCATAACCCCTCCGACTGAGTCCAGTCTGTGTATGTAAACCACAATCCCTCCCTGTGTGTGTGAGCAGGTATAAAAAGGCGTCAATGTGGACCGCAGTGGTTGGAATGCACGATTTGGAGAATGCGAGTGAATCATGTCGTCAAGTAAGTGTCTGTGTGTCTATTTACATCTCACTATGTGATCTTTGATTTTTGCTATTTGAACTCTTGTGTATTTTATTTAAAGACTGTAATGGTGGAAAAAATCATCTCCCACAAGGACTACAACCAAAAGACGAATGAGAATGATATTGCCCTTCTGAAACTACGGAGCCCGCTGCGGTTTGATGAGTGTGTTAGACCTGTTGGCATCTTGAGTAATGAGTTGGGTCCTCAGGAGAACTGCACAGTCACGGGCTGGGGCGCCATCAGAGAGAGTACGGCCTTTAATGAACCATGTGTTGTTAAACCTGTGTAAGAGCGGTGGTTATGTGAGTAGATGCTGTTTGTCTCTTTGTAGATGGTCCTCGTGCCTCCAGACTTCAAGAGGTCAATGTTACTGTTTTTGATCGAGAAACATGTAGCAATTTTTATGGAGGGAAAATGTATAAGTTTATGATGTGTGCCGGGAGAGATGCTGGTGGAGTGGATGCATGTCAGGTAAACATTTGCAATTTAGCTTTGATTCTGACACACTCCACGAGAGGAATTATTATTTATTTCTTGATGTCTTCATATGGTCCTAATTGGTTAACCCTAAAACCGTATTCTGGACAAATGTGGGCAAAGTAGTTTTGATTTTATTTAAAAAAAAAAATATATTTTCCTTGATCTGAGCGGTACAAGACTTGACTACTTTTCCTTAGTTTGCATCCTGAACAAACACTTTTTTTTTTACTCGATTGGTGAAAAAAAATCCTTAATCTTGTATTTGGGTCAAAAATGGGCACCCATGGAAATGAATGGGAAGAACTGTAATTTAGAGCATTCTAAAATAAGCCAAAATAAGACACCAGGTGACTGCAAAGTCACTTCATCTTTAGGGTTTAGCTCTAAGAACTTATTGGAATTATATTTTAATGTAGTTAAAAAAAATAAAACATAAAAATAAGCATAATTTACATAGAAAATATGGTACTTTTTGAAGTAAATAAATTCAAAAATACCCCAAAAATAAAAAAAACACCATCAATGGATAGACAAAACTTTATCGAAGACAGTGATATAACATTTATAATAAATAAAAATTAGGATCACACCTGAGTCCCCTGTGCCCACATTTGTCCACAATTATGTATACTGTATACAGATGATTGATTTAATAAGAGTATTTGAAAAGAAATCTGTACAAGTAATTTAGCATAATCCTAATATGTTATATAAATTAATATGTAATATTTTAGATGCATGTGTGTGTAGAAATTATTAAAAAAAAAAAAACAGGTAATGCTAAAATAATTGTCAGGTACACATTTGCATTTTTTTATGATTACTAGACGAGTATGTGTATGTTTATTATTTATTTAAAAAAAATGATCAAAGGTGTTTTGTGTGACAAACATGCATGAGAACATCACACAGAGGATATACTATTGTTAATATTAAATTAAGTCATATTGATCAATTAAAAAAAAGCTTGATATATCCTCATTCTTTGTCACAAACCAATTGACTTTTATGCAATGTAAGTTTAGGTTATAGAACAATTTTAGAACAAATTAGTTTGACGCATGTGTGCTGTGAATGTCTGTTCAGGGCGACTCTGGCGGCCCCCTGTCGTGTTTCACCGGCGAGAGGTACAAGCTAGCCGGGGTGGTCAGCTGGGGGGTCGGATGTGGTCGAGCCCAAAGACCAGGGGTTTACACCATCCTGTACCACTACAAACAATGGATCGATTCTTCAATGCAGGGTATGAACTTTCAGATTTCATATCAGAAGGCTGATCTAAAACTGCTTTTCCTCTTGTATTATACAGGTGAAGCCGTTTATGTTGACTCTGCAGCAGATTCAACTGGTAAGCCTCTCTTTTCATGCTCCGTATCAGTCGTGTACCTTTTAATTGTTTTGTTTTTCCATCATGTCATGTCTTCAGCCCAGTGTGGTCAGTCCAAGATGGGTCCCTGCCAGCTGCCCAGTGGCTTGGCCCAGGTGGTGTCCACTGAGGATGGCACATTCAAGGTGGAGAACATAAGCGAGGCGTGCCCAAACTCCTGGCCATGGCACGTCAGCCTGCAGAACCACGACACGCATTACTGTAGCGGCGTCCTCGTTCACCCGCGCTGGGTGCTGGCGCCACGCCACTGCTTCGCCAAGTAAGACAGGATTTGATCGTCTGCGTTTCTCTGTTGTTCCTCAACTGACAGTTTGTCCCACAGGGCTGGAGATGTGGTGATCTTGGGAGCTCATGACCTCAACTTCATGTCGGGTCAGACCGCAGCTGTGGAGAGCGTGCAGAGTTTGGCTCACGACGCCACATTCCCACCGGTCTCCGATCTCTCCATGATCCGCTTGTCTGTCCCAGCTCGAATAGGTATTGGATATTATCTGTGTTTTTCATTATCGAAGGTGTACAGGTTAACGTGTGCTCCATCCAGGGTCGATGATATTTCCTGTGTGCTTAACGGATGTCGATGATGAAATGGTGAATGAGGACAACTCGTCTTGTGTGACAACTGGTTGGGGGACAAGAAAATCTACATGTGAGTCAACAGGGTTTGATTTGATGCATGCATTCATAACCTCTTTTAATTTCCTGGTGAAATGAGCTAATCGAGAAAATAATGTAGAGCACAACTCATTTTATCCATCAATAACTAATTGAATCGGGAGCCATTCTTATTACACACCAGAAGCTAGGTGGTTGAAGGAAAAAAAGCTTGTTTTTTTTGTTTGTTTTTTCATCCATTCTCCAAACTGCTTATTTTATCTTATTTTAAACTGCTTGTCCTGTGTAGAGCCACAGGAATGCTGGAGCCTTGGTTGCATGGATGGATGTTTTTTTTTGTTTTGCATCATGCACAAGAAGACCAAAATCATTTTTTAAGTAGTAAATTGGATGATTCTTGAGTTCATGTGAAGAGTTCAGATGCAAAAGCCTTGTGAAATTTTCTTCTAAAATGATCATTTTTATCAAGCTTGTATATTTAAGTTCTGTTAAGTAATGTGGATTACCTATTAATTGTCATTTAAGTGAAATTACTGAACTTAAATATACAAGCTTGATAAAAATGGTCATTTTAGAAGAAAATTTCAAATGGCATTTAGAGGCTTTTGCATCTGAACTCTTCATGTTGACTTTAAAAAAATGGAAAATGGTATATTTTGTTAAGGAATAAATCTTTTTCCCCCTGTTGCTACTTTGTATCTGCTTCCTCAAGCACATTTCTGGGGAGTAGTGATGTTTTCTCTTCTCATAATAGTGGATCTGCATGCTGATATCATGCATATGGCCAGGGTTAAGCCTCTCTCTGAGAAAGCCTGCAAGACCGGCTGGGGTAACAGTTTCAGCATGAAATTCCTCCTGTGTACGGATGCAGCTGCTTCTACCTCCTGCTTGGTACAGTCTTATGATTCTTCAATACAGATTTGTTGAAACTCCTATGTCTGGGTCACCTAAATTCTTTCTCTTATAGGGGGACTCGGGCGCACCCCTTATGTGTGCAAAAAATGGTGTCTATTACCTTGTAGGACTAACAGTGGGGGGCGGCAAGAAATGTGAACCTCAGAAACCAGCTGTTTTTACTCGAGTGTCTGCCCATCACTCCTGGATACAACATTTTATAAAAAATGCCTAAAACATTTAATAAAGCATCTATTTTCTGTGGCTTATTGTCTTGTTTGTTTTTTGGCAAAGTAATATTTTTTTTTTTAATCTATAAACAAAAGAAAATTACCCATTTAAACATGTCATTGTTATTTTGAAGTTATATGAATCATTAATTGAAGACTTGCTTCAATAATAGCAATCGATCTTGTGACGCTTGGCTGGATGTAATTGTCTAAAATATACTCTGTTGAACTTGTCTTGTTCTGCTTTCAAAATGCTATTGATGTTCCACAAATTCAAGCTAGTGAATTAATCGTTAATTTGAGTCGTTTCATTGAATTAATCAATTGAACCGGTTGATCAAAATGATTCGTTTTACGAGCGGCTTTTCTAATTTTTTTTTTTTTTTTTTTAAGTGTATGTATAATGTTTAATACTCGTATTCATACAAAATGTATGTAGCTTGAATAAAAAAATCTCTTTTGGGGTTTCTGAACTCGAATTCTAAATCGAGTTGGTTTAATAAACATTTCAGTATTATTTGTAAATTAATTTAAGTATGGTCAAAACCAGAGCCATGTGTCAAAACCATATGTAAACATAAACATGGATCTTGGAACGTTTCGTTTGAATCTCGCGGACCACGTGCTATGATTACGTCATGACGTAAAAGAACTGAACAAACAGTTCAAAAGAACCGATTCGTAGACCTGAGTCGGACTTCCCATCACTAAATTCAAACTCCACCCCTGCTACTCCACTTCATTTTTCCAATGAGCATCAGCTCTCAACGCCCGAAACAAAGTGACACCTCATCCCTGCAGCAAGCCGCCAAGATGGGGGAAGTAAAAACGCCCAGACGAATGTTCTTGATCAGCATTGCACTTATATACGTGTGTGCTTTTTCATCCATCTACGTACAAATACCAGGTAGGGAAGTTTCTCCTTCTGAAGGTGGATATTTGACATTATGATGGTGGATTTTGGGTGCGGCATTAATGAATGGTTGCGCATACACTTGAACTTGGGAATGTCGGTGTAAACAAAACGTGTTTCCTTTAACGTTAGATCATTCATTCATTAGCGCTAACAGTTCGTTCTCCAGTCACGGGGGACCAGTTTCAGTTCAAACTTTTGAAGGACCTCGTGCACAAACCGCATCCCCATGCAGAACGACGCATTCTAGTTGATTTGTCTATGTAATATTTAACAGGATTTCGATCTGACTGGACACAATGTCCGTATGAATAACCCAGCTTTGCTTCAGTTCCTCCACATGTGCTGATTTAGGAACCTCGCCAGTTAGTGCTGAGTCCGCACTAGTGACCAGTCATCACTCAGGGGCCTGTGAGCTTTTTGTCCCTAAAATGCTCTATGCGTATGCCATGTGTATGACGTATTAATAGTGAAGGCTCTTTCCCCCCCAACTAATTCCATGGCATGTACCAAGACCTTTAAAAGTCTCAAGCTCCTATGATCCCATGCAGCAGCAAAGTTTTAACAAGCTTTCATCTCTTTACCATTGTGACTCATGCTTTTGCAATTGTTGCCAAGTGCAGTATTATGCAAGCCGTCTCTAATCTACATCCATATTAGAGTTGGGTGTAATGCGTTTCCACAAAGTAATACATTACTGTAACTTTCCTGAAAAAGTAAAGTGATTACTCTATTAGTCTTTGGTGTATAGTAATTGATTTGAATGCAGCATAGACTATAGAACAGTTCTGTATAACAGTGGATTTAATCTAACCTTCTCCCTTTAAATACTTTAGTCCGTTCAAGAATAACATATGCACTTTTATATTATTTATTTGAAACGATTGAAAGAGCAGTTTCACGTCGATCCTTGTATTGTGTGGTGAAGATTGCCAAATCTGGCCACCAGCAGACTGTGTTTCCCACAGATAAGGGAAATCATAAATGCACTTAATAATAGCTCTATTGCCATTTGGGTTGTTGGTGGCCCAGCTGCATGTTTAAAACTTGTTCACAGAGTTTCAGTTCTTTTGAAAATATATATTCCAGTCAGGGCTCCGTGAGCGATAGCTTTACGATCCATGATGCTTTTGGGAAAATCACACACATGGCATGAGATCCTCAAGGCAGTGTGCCTGGAGGAGCCGCTTGGGGCAGAACTGGGTCTTCAAGGAGCATTCAAAGAAGAGAAACCATGAGTCATACGTTGGCACTGGCACAATACACGGCCTGTTCTCTAACTCAAACCAGCCTGCTATATGCGCACTCTTGCTGAAAAATGTGACCATGCAACTTTGCACCTTTGTTAACCGCCTTAAGATTTCAGTCAGTCACATTAAAACCCAGCTCCGTTTGTCAAAGTTCTGCAACAAAGTAAAGTAGTATTTCCTGATCTGTCTGAACTGATTATCAGTTAGTGTATTGTTACTTGGCAATCTGCCTAAAGCAGTATTTCACACACAGTGCACCTGTTTGCATCCAGTGTTTAACACTTCTGGAACATCTGGGGTGTCTGCTTGTTTTCAGGCGTTAAAAACTCACAGGACGGGTTTGTGTTTTCCTCATTGTCATGGCAGTGTGTGCCTGTATTCTGTTGAATGAATGTTTAAGCACAGCTTGATGCTTTGTGCTGCTACTACCGCAAACAAGCACAACATGCTGTATTAGTGTAGTGTGTGCAGAACATGAGGGCACTCTGTCACCACCACCAATGTTTCTAATCAGCTGATGAAGTATGACCCTTTTATACCTCACTCGTCAAGCTTTAAAGTCAAAATGAAATGGCCTTCACACGACCTATTTTACTTCCTGAATTTCTCACATTATGGAAATAAAATGGGCTGGGTCCCATGTTTCCCATTCATTTGTTTACAGGAGTATAGTTTTATCAAAATAATGTGCCTAAATATTTAATAATGATGTGCACAAGTATAGTCATAATAAAATAGTTAGAGTCCTTTTGACAATTAATTAAAGCGTTAATTCATCTACAAATAAAAAAAAAGTTGTTGATTAATGATTATTCACCCTTAACCGATTTTTGTTCATCTTCGAAACATGATTGAAGATTTTTTTTTAATGTAATCTGAAAGCTTTGTGCCCCTCCATTGACAGTCTATGCAACTACCACTTTGACAAAGAGATTGCAAAACTAATCCATATGAATTTAGTGTTTTAGTCCAAATTTTCTGAAGAGACTCGATTGCTTTACATGATAAACATATTGAATTATTATTTACACACAAACATTGATCAGTGTACTGCACATGAACAGAAGCTCAACTGAACCTGCATGACGCACGAGAACAAACCTCACTGGTTCTTGCTGAAGCTCACAATCACAAGCTTTACAATCTTTTTATTAACGAAGAAACTTGTCAAAGTTTCAGTTGCGTAGAGTAGACTGTCATTGGACGGACAGAAAGCTCTCAGATGTCGTTAAAATATCTTCATTTGTGTTTTGAAGAAGCACGAAAGTCTCACAGGTTTGAGTAAATTGTGACTTTTTTTCATTTTTGGGTGAACTAACCCTTTAAAGAACCATCTCATTCATTTGTGAATCATGTATTATGTGTGTATGTCTTTATTGAAAATGTCAGATTAAGCTATTTTGTTTTCTTGAGTAATGTTCACATCATGTACAGCAAGATGGATCACATTGACATGAAGCGTGCCTCTGTTTGTGTGTCTCTGGACAGGGTTGTATGGAGATGAGGGTATTGTTCCTGTGCGCCTGCAGATGCCGAAAGTGCAGCGGCCCCTGCTGGAGCAGCTGGAGGCCTCCCCGTCCCTGCTGTGGTTGGGGCCGTCTCTGGGTCTGGGGCCCCAGCAGGCCCTGGAGCTCATCTGCCTGCTCGGAGTGGTGCTGAGCCTGGGTGCTGTGCTGTTGGGGCCCCTGAGAGACAGTCTGATCTACCTCTGCCTGTGGGCCCTTTACCTCTCACTGTATAATGTTAGTAAATGCCTCCTGTCAGAGTATTAAAATCTATTTAAGTTTATAGAACTATTGTGCACTGTCAGGTGCTTCTTTAAGTGCTTTTGTGATTGTGGCCTCGGTGGAACCACAATTGAGACATATATGTTTTGTTTTCTAGGTTGGTGGAGACTTACTCCAGTCTGAATGGTGAGTTCCTCAAGTTTTCGTATGACTTGCGGGTTGACCTTGTATGTATTGTTTGGTATAACCACTGCTTGTTATTTCTCCAATGCTGTTGAGGCTCATAATTGGGGTATTTGCAATTCAGATTCTCTGCAGCAGAAAAAAAATTGTTTATGAGAGGGAAAACTGGCCACAAACTGAATATTACTGCATATTATGTGCTTGCCCATTAAATTTAATGTGATTGCAGTCCACTAAATGACTAATTGGTTAGCGGGCTGTGCTTTAACTTTTCAAATTAAGTTGACCAAATTCTGACTCTTATTTGAATATAGAATATTTCTTAAAGAAATTGTTCCGTTAAAAATGAAAATGCTGAACACAAAGGAAGATATTTTGAAGAATGGTGGTAACCAGACAGTTGATGGACCCATTGACTTCCATAGTAGGAAAAAAAATACTATGGAAGTCAAGTTTGGTTTCCATACAAATATCTTCCTTTGTGTTCAGCAGAAGAAAGACTCGTACAGGTTTGAAACAACTTGAGGATGAGTAAATGACAGAATTTACATTTTTAACTGATCCATTCCTTTAAGAAATGATGTAAATCTAGTAATGTTTGTAATTCCGTGTGACCGTTTCTAATTCATTGTAATGTTCTTATAGGGATATGCTGCTGTTGGAGGCTGGGTTTCTGGCTGTGCTTGTAGCTCCTCTGGGTTTGCTGCGCTGTGGCTCCTCTCACAAGTACCACGACTCTGTGACCTTTTGGTTGATCCGCTGGCTGTTGTTCCGGCTGACCTTCTGCACAGGTGCGAGTAAGCTGGCCAGTGGCGACCCTGCGTGGTACGGCCTGTCGGGTATGTTGAATCATTTTTAACATTATTCATTCATTCTGTATTGGTAGAAATCAGTTCATTTGTGCTTGTCATGCCGCCCACTTTCATGAGGAAATCTTATGTCACTTTTGCTGGAAATCAAC